TGCAGGGTGGGATCCTCACCTACCACAATAAGCAGGCAATTTTTACACAATTTTTAGAGCACCTTTTCCAACTCCTTCTTCATGCCAAGAGGCGAGCAATGAGGTCCTTTAAAAAAGCTGCTCAGACACCCAGGGGCTGCCAAATCCTACTGCTTCTTCAGTCCAGTGAGAAGATGACCTAATGCCCCGGGCCACCTGTGTGCAGGCCTGTGGCTACAGCTCCCATTGTATCCTTACCTACTGCTTCCTTACTCACCCATAAAAATGGTAAGATAGTAAAATGAGAAAACAGTTAAATAGCAAAATAATAAAATGGATGTTGGGTGATGTCTTGACTTGCTCATGAATTAGATTTAAGCAAGGTAGAATTGCCCAAAGTTGTCAGCCTCTCTCTACTCCAGATTCATAGAAGACCAGTGGCAAAGTAAAAGTCAAAACAACTGGCAATGGCCTGGGATGCAGTGGAAGGCCTTGGAGTCTCCCATGTCTTACCAAGTTCTAAGCACTCCACAGTGCCTGGTTCAGCCTCCTATTTGACTGTTGGAACAAATTGTTCTCATTTGCCTGTTCCTCCAGCAGGAAGTCTTCATGTGGTTGGGGGCAGATATCCCCCTAATTCACTGACAAGTTTGAGTTCTGTCAGTTATCCCCTACCTGGGGTAGCCCATCTACTGAGACAGTTATATTGGAGTGTGGCTTCTGTGCACGCCACAGCTTCTTGGAGCCACAAGTGACAGGTAGGTGACAGGTGAACACCAAAGGTGGATGAATAGCCCTGAGAAGGGCTTGCAAGTCCTTACGCCAGAGGTGCTAGTCCTCCTGAGCACCCATACACCCAGGCTTATAACCTAGGTGTCATCCTCTACTTTGCACTCTCTCTGACACCCCATATCCAACCTGTTGCTAAGGCCTGTTGACTCCACTCCACTCTTTCCTCTGACACTGCCACCACCCTGGTGTTGATCCTCATCGCCTCATGACTAGACGATTGAAATAACCTGCTAGTTGGTCTCCTTGTCTCAACAGAATCACTCAATTTCTCCACTCAGCTGTCAAAGTAAACTTCTTAAACCTCAGGTCTGACCATATGTCTCTCTCTCCCTTCTCTCTCTCTCTCTCTCTCTCTC